TGGGATTTGTGGTGGACAAAGTGGCGCTGGTGCAGGTTTTCTCAAAGTACTCCGGTTCCCCCTGCCAATCTTCATTCCCCCAAATTCTCCATCATCATAATCACCCGGGGCAGGCTACAATAGGCCAATCAGTGGCCGCCGTACCGAGTGCACTCAGTTGGACTCCACCACCCACTAAGCGAATTAAAAAAAAAAATTAGACCCATTGCCAAGTAGTGATGCCTGCAACAGTAGAACAACAGGGTTAAGCAACCCGCTTCTAAACAGTGGCTTGGTAAATACGTTCCTGTGGAAACGAATGTGTCCAACAATAGAGGAATGGTGGTTTTGGTGTGGTCAACGCTGAGAAGTTATCTTGAAGGCAATTAAGTTGACCAGTTGTCAGTTGAAAGTCAGCCTGTGAAGAAAAAACTAGGAGGCTGGTGTGAAATGGCCTCCAGCCTGGGACCCCATACACACATACTTATAAATTTCATTAATCCAGCGTTCATCTATTGACAGGTGAATATGAAACATGTCAGGAGATGTACACTGCACAATGCAACTTGAGCAAAAGAGACATTAAACAAAGATATATATATACAGTATATAAACAGTATATAAACGACAGAGTAGGTAAAGAATGTAGCATAACAAAATATGAGTATAAGTGCTTAAAAAATAGACAATACAAAAGACTACAAAAGCTAAACACGACTAAAAACTTTTACAAAAGAGAACTAATAATGTGATATAAACTCTTCTGTAGAATAAAAAAATATGTGTAAGAATATAATTCCTTAAAGCAGACTTGAAAAGTTATTTAATTAGTTAGCCATTTGAAACAACAGAATTATCATGCAAGACTTATGCAATATATGTATTAATGCTGTTCTCTCTGTGCAGCCCTCCAAAACAGCAGCATCAAGCAAGATCCATGCAATATCATATTCATTGAGGTTATTTCCTCTAAGTAGCCATAGGAGACAACAGCAACATCAAGCAAAATTTATGCATTATTGTATCTATTAATGCTGTTTCCTCTGTGCAGCCCTCTGAAACAGCATCAGTATGAAGCAATTTAATGTTAAACACATCACATAAAAGTTATGAATGTGCGCCCCCCCTACCTACACACACACACACACACACATAAGTGATGAATAAAAATGGCTCTAATCTTGGCATCATCCTCAGCTAACACATACCTCTTTGCTAAGAGCAGCAACATAGAGGGCAGTAAGAGGTGTTTGTTCTGCAGGTTTGAGAACAATTGTGCACCCAGTAGCAAGCGCTGGCCCCCACTTCCAGGCAAGCATCAGAATAGGGTAGTTCCATGGGATGATCTGACCTACCACCCCAACTGGTTCTCTAAGTGTCATACTGAACAGTTCTCCATCTAAAGTAACCAAGTAGTCACAAATTGGCATACATAGATAAACCTTTGGATGGAGAATATAATTAATGCATCATTATTAATCTACTTCATATGCTGATTACTTATTGAGGTATTATAGAAGGAAAGTAATTACTACGGTTGATAGATTATGAGGCTTCTTATATAGCATCATGGATTGTAAATGTAATAGATCTCCACTAATATACTGTGACAGGATGTCTAAAATCCATAAGCTCTGAACTGTGAATGTGAATGCCTGTAAACAATTATATATATATATATACATACGATGGGGTACCCAAAAGAAACTGAACTAATTTTTTTGTGGGCAGAGCTTTTGTAGTACTGCGTTTTGCCGCTATGAGCGCATAGAGCTAACATTCCTGAGTCGATAAGCCGACTACCATTGCTTCAGAAGATAAGGACTAGTTTCGGCAGAGTTTATAGTGACAACTGTTTTGTGTGATCGTCGTTTTTGCAATGGCTGATTTTCGTGAACAGCGTGTGGCGGTGAAATTCTGCTTTTTGCTCAGGAAAAGTGGAACAGAAACTCTTGAAATGTTAAGAACGGCGTACAAGGACGATGCTATGGGGAAAACTCAAGTGTTTCAGTGGTTTTCCCGTTTCAAAAATGGTGAAATGTCAATTGATGACAAACCTCGTTCTGGTCGTCCTTCCACGGCCCGAACACATGAAAATGTTGAAAAAATTCGTGAAATCATCAAG